GATGGCAATTTTTGAGTATTTCTTATGTTTATTTATGACTACCAGCTTCTTTTTTGTTATTTTTTGCAAGGTATATTTGTTGTATATCTTTTTCATATTTTTTGTATATCTTTTGTATATTTTTTGTATATTTGATGTATATTTTTTGTATATTTTTGTCTTTGCTTTGGGTAAATATTGTGCAATATCTCAATTATTTTTTTTTATTCTCTTTTGAATGTGTGGTAACATGAAGTTTTAGACATGTTAAATGACTATTGTTACTCTTAGTACTATTTGGTTTATTTCGTGGAACATTGGTGACAAACAAATCAGTTCTTTATTTTTTTTCGATGGCATATTTGTTGTATTTTTAATGTTTATCAAGTTCTCTTTTTGCTAGGTATTTTATGATATAATTTTTGGTATTTTGTTGGTTATATACGCAGAGCCTGAATTAGATATTTTTTTATGTCTTTAATTCGATATTAAGTAGTTTACATTTCAAACTATTTTTGTATACTTTCAGTAATTGTTTATTTTATGACTTATTTTTGAAAAATAAAAAATTACCCCCACCACCTTGCATACTTAATTTAAAATGGCAAAAATGCAGGCAAAACTTTTTCACTTTTTCTTTGGTTTAATCACAATTTATTTGATTTAATCAGATGAGGTAACCTTTCAATTATAATGGACGCTTTTTGTTGTATATTGCAAATTACAATTCCAAACAAGCAAAATTGCCCTTCAAGCAGGACAAAAAAGTTTTGGGAGGTGAAGAAAACTATTCTCTAATTGCAGAAGCCAAATAATTGATGATAAGAAAAAGGATCAGTGTGTGCACATGGTTAAATCAATCGAAGGTAAAAACCCTTGCCATCAACATCAAGAGAACCGGATCGAAAAACCATTTTCTGTGGTTTGTGACAAGCGACGAGCCAAATTCATCAAAATCTGAATCCGAACCGAAATCCCTATGATCGTTCCAATTAATGGATGAATCCTCATAATGATTCTCGATTGTAGCTGGAATTCTCAACTTAGTTAAGAAACCAGTAAAGGCTCTTTATTATAATACTTATCATTAAGCAATTCCATTGCAGTAGCTCTATTTGCAGGGTCGAAATACAAAAGCCTCTTCACAAGAAGCACTTCATCAGGAGACCGGTTCTTGAGACATGCTTCTAAGCCAATAGGATATTCCACTTTACTAAATGAAATTCTATTGTAATCAGGAAGGTGCACACAGCTTTGCCAGACTTCATCCGTCCCGTCGCCCAAAACGTTGAAAATTTTACCCAGCTGATCAATATCAGCACCGGTCAGGAGGGGGGGTTATGGGTGGGTAATTTATATAAATAAAAAGTTAAAAAAAAAAAATTGGACAAAATAAAAAGAAAAAAAAAATTGTGAACAAAAATAAAAAACACGTATTTTTAAAATACATTTTTTTATTTATTTTTTTTTTAAAAAAACGTATTTTGTTAATATATTTTAAAATTATTTTTTTAAACAATTAAAAAAATATGTAAAATGTATTTAGACGTTTTATAAATAATATTAAAATTAATGAAAAAAATTAATATGTAGTATGTATTTTGTGTTTTGGGCTCGTTTGGGCTCATCTAAACTCGGAATTGAGTTCTGTTTTTTCCTATACGTAGCTAACGAACCCCTCTATTTAATGTTGTATGCATGACCAAATTCTTCTTGAAATCATATTCTTCAAAGCTCTTGACCTACACATTAAACGTGGTTCGCGCGACTTTGCAGTTTGGGCCCGTTCGGACTCGTCCAAGCTCGAAATTGATTTCCGCTTCTTCCTATATGTCGCCAACGAACCCATCTACGCAACCATGTTTGTCCGATCAATTTTTGGGCTAAATCTATTCCTTACGGGCTAAATAATTAACAAATCACCCATTCTTTCATTTTTTCCAGCAAGTAATTGCCGTTTTTGTGGGCCCCGCTGGGTCGCGTTGCATTCCGTTTTACCAAAAAAGAAGTCGGGACGTGAAGACTGTTCTCGCACATTCGAGCCATTAATCGAGTATTATGAAGTCTTTCGGGAAGAAAACGGACAATAGATATTTTTTTTCTATTTTGTCATTACCGGCGAGCTTCATTTCATGCGGCGACTTCGGGTACCCCGTTGACCCTCGTTAAGCGGGCCGAGCATTAGCGAGAGCGCTTTTGAGAAAGCGTGAGTTAACTTGCCGAGTTCGAGCGTCCGAGTGCAACAATATAATACTTATCTCTTCCTAAACTTTCTCTTTAAATAAGTCGATCATTCCTTATAATCAAGTATCTCTCCACTTCAAAATGGAGGTTTCTGAATCTTCTCAAGCTACTAAGGTTCTTCAACCTATAAAAACCATATGTGTTCTTGGTAGTCCTAAAGTTGTCAATTTCCCTCATAATATCCATGTTGTAAGTCAACTTACTGTATATAGGAACTAGCATCATCTTCTTTGATAACCTTTTAATGGCTGCCAAATATTTTGATATAGAGGTGAGAAGTATCCTCCCTTTTTATATCACTTCAACAAAGGTTGTCAAATATTCTACAACTTCGATTGGGTGCCCTAGGAACAGTACCCGGAGGATGGTAATATCCAGGATGAGTGCACAAAAGATCAATATATTTGAATGTATAGGGGCTGGATCTTCTGTTGGAACATACGTGAAGTCCACTTGTCTGATAAGGTTCTCCGTCAGTGTGGGTGTCAACAGTCTATCCACCAAAATCCGATGATTAGTGGTGAGCAAGAACAGGAGACACACCACAGAGGTCGTGGAATGACTGGGAGGGCATTTTGTGATCGGGCCGCCTTTCATTCACAACTTACCAAGGGTTGAGTCGATGAAAGAGAACAAAATGTCCTCCAAGATGCCCCTGTGGATCAATTCCTACAGACTGAGGAGGGTTACAGTGATTGGTTTTACACTAGGAATGTGAGACTTATCAGTGACTTACCAAGTGCACGGTGGTCCAACAGGACAACGGCTATCAGACAGTTACCGAGCGGGAGAAGTGAGATGTAAGTGTTCAAAATTTGTGATTTTTCTATTATTCCTTTTTTTTTTTGTGTGTTTCATACTAATTACTTTGAATTTTATTTTCAAACTCAAGCCCTAGAGGGGTTTATAACTCGTTAGCGAATATTGAAGACATTTCCTTCACTCTCTCCATGGTCGCAAGTCGCATTCCAACAGTCGTACAACATTGCCTATAGTTACGTGACCAACAATCCTACAATATTGCCAATAGTTCTCTGACTGTTGGAGGCCAAGAGGTCACACAAGGGGCGTCGTTCAGTCAAGTTCTATCCGAGGAGGACTACATCCCATCCCATAATACCCAGTCACATAGAGCGAGGCATCAACCCGCTGCCAACATTGGTGGAGGTAGAAAACGTCGTGACCGCGAACGACAACAACGCCCGTTCGGACTCGTCTAAGCTCGAAATTGAGTACCGTTTTTTCCTATACGTAGCTAACGAATCCCTCTATTCAATAATGCATGCATGACCAAATTATTCTTGAAATCATATTCTCCCAAAGCTCTTGACCTACACATTAAACGTGTTTCGCGCGAGTTTGATTTTTAGGCCCGTTCGTACTCGTCCAAACTCAAAATTGAGTTCCGCTTCTTTCTATATGTCGTCAACGAACCCATTCACACAACCATGACTGTCCGGTCAATATTTGGGTTAAATCTATTCCTCATGAGGCTAAACGAGGGTCAACAGGGTACCCGAAGTCGCCGCATAAAATGAAGCTCACCGGTAATGACGGAATAGAAAAAAAAATATCTGTTGTCCGTTTTCTTCCCGGAAGACTTCAAAATACTCGATTAATAGCTTGAATGACATCGTGCGGGAATGGTCTGCACGTCCCGGCTTCTTTTTTGGTAAAGCGGAATGCAACGCGACCCTGCGGGGCCCACGAAAACGGCAATTACTTGCTGGAAAAAATGAAAGAATGGGTGATTTGTTAATTATTTATCCCGTAAGAAATAGATTTAGCCCGAAAATTGATGGGGCAAACATGGTTGCGTAGATGGATTCGTTGGCGACATATAGGAAGAAGCGGAAATCATTCGAGCTTGGACGAGTCCGAACGGGGCCAAACCGCAAAGTCGCGCGAACCACGTTTAATGTGTAGGTCAAGAGCTTTGTAGAATATGATTTTAAGAATAATTTGGTCATGCATGCATCATTGAATAGAGGGGTTTGGTAGCTATGTATAGGAAAAAACGGAACTCAATTCCGAGTTCAGACGAGCCCAAAATACAAAATACATATTACATATTAATTTTTTTCATTAATTTTAAAATATAAAACGTATTTTCATAATACGTTTTATTTATTTATTATTTATAAAACGTATTATCAAAATACGTTTTACAAATAATTAAGAATTAAACGTATTTTGATAATACGTTTTAGTTTTTAATTATTTATTAGTTCTTAATTATTTGTAAAACATATTTTGATAATACGTTTTATTTATTAATTTTTTTTAAAACGTATTATTTGAATACGTTTTATGCTGATTTTACTGTAAAACATATTCCGAGAATACGTTTTACACTTTAAACCGTATTCTCAAAATACGCCCTTTTTACTTTTGTCTACATTTTTTTGTTTTGTTTTGTTTTTGTCTAGTTAATTTTTATTATTTTTATTTCTGTAAAAAATTCGGTTATGGGTAGTGGTAGACATGGTCACGGGCCGAACCGGCCCGTGGCCCGGACCGCGAACCGGTACCACGGTTTG